TGTTTGCCCGGGTACCAAGTCATAATAAAATCAGAGCTTAAGTTTATAAACTGTTTGGCTTTACCGCCAGGCGACGTCCATTTACCCGTTAATCCGACAACATTTTCGGCAAAAGTCCTTAACGAACAGAGGTCGTTTGTCCATTAATTTGAGACGGATCCCATTATAAACTAGATGACCTTGATTGTTTAACAACTTTATGGAGTTCATATCAATAGTTTCAGGACTAAAATTTTCAAGTTTAGTTGAGGCCATAATTAAACCATCCGCCGCCATGTTGTTATTGTTATCTCAAATCAAGCCGCCTATAGCCAGTGTTGATATATCATATATGATATTAACAGCACTTTGTTTCTATGTCTTACTAGCCACAAATGCATGGCCCTGAGAAAGAGTCGACCAAATCACCTCAAACACAAGAGATAAGCAAAGCGAGGTGTCTGTGGAGGTATTGCTTTATTTTATTTCATTTTGATATGAGCAAGCTGTATAAATATACAGCGATATCATGTTTGATGAATGCACACATTGTATCATGTACTCATGTATACCGTGCTTTAATCTTTGTGAATATTAACACTTCCGTAGGAAGCAATTTTGTATTAGGGGGAGCTGATTATTCAGGTGCAATTATTTATTGGTCATTATTTCCCTCTCAAAGTCTACAGAATTATCACTAGTTTACAAACTAGGGGGGGGTGGGGGGCTGAAGGCCCTGTTGCTATGGCCTTGATTAAACAATTATTCAAATTGTTTGTACCATACCATACAAGGTCTAGAAATATTGGTACAGATTTGTTGTATGTGTGAACTCAGGTGACTTTATATGATATATCATAGCTATTAGTTGTCCCTTTGTTACTTAGGAGATAATTAATTGATGGTTTGGATAGCAAGATCCTTGTCAAAGTATATAGCAAGATCCTTGTAATATGGCGAAGTTGGGCTTATTACTGGTTCGTTGGTTGGATAATATTAATAATATACAGGATAACCTATCAGTAAATGTAACTGTTATCACAAGGGTCCTGTAACTATCCTAATAAGACTATTTATTTAAACCTAACTATTTAGAAATGTTCATCTCAGAATTGTCTGAATAAAACCTTAGATTCAATTTTTCTAGCGGATGTTCGTAAACTGTGAAATTTCGAAATGTTTTACGAGGTCAGTCTCCACTTTTGTTTTCAGTTCCTTGCTCCTATACTAGAATGCGTAGTGTCCCGTAGCACTGTAATACTCGATCAACGTTTGAATGTCCTCCTTGTCAATTTTATCACGTTGCACTAATTGGGGTGTAGGCCAAAAAATTCGGGGGGTGTAGGGGTACAAAAATTCCGAATGACGAAAGAAATTTCCGGATATTTCATTGCATACGAAGCCATGAAGGTGTTTGCTATCCGGAAAATGAAAACGCAATTTACAAACAAAAATACTCATATTTTACGCACATACATATTACAGAAGCATGCAGTTCCGTAGGAAGTTCTTTTTGATAAGGGGGTGGCGAGGGCCGAAGGCCCGAGGAAATTTTTAAATTTAGAGTCTCTGAAATGCCATTTCGTGGACTTTGGGGGAAGTTTTGACAGAATTCTGATGGTCAGAAAACAGAGTTTTAGCACGTCGAAATTTTCAATTAATTTGCTTACAATTTAGAAGAACTAAATGGGCGAAGGCGTATATGGGTAATATGATTCTTTGCGGTTTGTCATGGGTAATGTAGCCGCTTAAAATAAGATATATTAAGGGCTTCCCCCTCCCCCCCCCCGTTGCCACGGCCCTGGGAAGTAATAAACCGAAAAACATTTACCGATCTACGATTTGTTAAATGTTATCCATGTAAATGCCGTGATTTTGTAAATCAGTTTATAATAATGTAATCAGTTTATGATACTGACACTACAATTTTATAATATTTTCTCTGTTTAATTAATTAAACAACTAAAATTTTGTTATACTATTACTGCCGTAATTTTCCGAATGACCAACCTGATTT